CTCTGTGTTTCTGCTGTGAACAAGAATGTCATCTTGGAAAGAAATTGCTCCCTCCTGATCACGGAGAATCTGTTCTATCGGCAAGCGTTTGTAGAAGAACCTTCCTTCAGGGGTAATAAATGTAGTCAGTTTTGCCGACTTCTCATCAAGTGGAACTTGGAAATAGCCGCTTGTAGCATCTAGTTTGCTGAAGATTGTCGAACCCTTTAGTTTGTGCAATATCTCTTCAACGACAGGGAGCATGTATTTCTCAAGTTTGACGGCTGCGTTCAGCTTTTTGTAGTCAGTGCATATTCTTACTCCCCCTGATGGTTTGATCACTGGCACGATCGGTGAGCACCAGTCTGTTGGTTCGTCGATTTTCTCTATGATCCCAGCCTGCTCCATTTTTCTTAGTTCTTCTTTGACCTTGCTTCTGAGGGGAATTGGGATTCTACGGGCTGTATGAACACTGTACGGCTGAGCATCTTCCTTCAACTCGATTTTCACTGGTTTAGTTTTGATAACATTTTTATCTAAGCCTCCAAACAGCGAATCTACCCGTACTACTAGTCCCATCCTCGCGGCAGCCTCTCGGCTCAGAAGATTTTCTGGTGCTGGCGCCACATAAACTGTCACTGGGTATTGTTTTCCTTTGACTGTAAAGTTCATGGTTGCCTTGCCGTGGCATTTCAAAACACCTCCCGGGTTTCTGAGTATTATCTTGGTCTTCTGTAGAACAGGTCTCGGCTCTAACTCAGCGAACGTCTCTGCCGTCATGATTGAGACGTCTGCATCCGTGTCAATCTTAAATAACATTTTGTGTGTGCCCGACAGCAACCTTTGTATTCCATGGCGCTTCATTACTTTTAGTTTCAATTGACAGTAGGTATGCTTCTTCCTCTTCTTCATCTTCCACTTTTACTTCGTTGATTTTCTTTCTTGTGTGGCACATTTTGGCAAAGTGATTCTTCTTGGAGCATTCTCTACATGTTTTCCCATATGCCGGACATTGTCGTCTACCGTGGGATCCCCCACAGTACTGGCAATTACGCACGTCTTGCTGGCCACTGCTTCCTCCGCGTCCCCGCAGAGCGGATCCTCTGCGTGGTCCCCCATGTACACTCCCATGTTTGAGGGTTCTCGATCCAAAGGATTGAACGGCATCAACATTTGGCAATCTTTGCTCTTTGATTTGGGCCTTTATTCTTTCTGTTTGTCTTGCCATAGTGATAGCTTTCTCAATGGTTAAATCAGACTCTAACTGAAGTTTCTCCGACAATTCTTTGTCAGTAATACCCAGGACTAGCCGATCCCTAATCATATTGTCCTTATCTGGGAAAGCTGTATGCTCAGAGAGTTCGTATAAACTTCTGCCATATTCTTCTATGGTCTCTGTTTCTTTCTGACAACGTTTGTGGAACTGAGCTCTCTCATGAATTGCATTTCGTTTTCGGCTGAAATATCCATCAAACTTGGTCAGAACTGTGTTGAAATCATTGCTATCGTCCTGTGAGAGACCAAAGGTAGACATAATCTTTTCTGCCTCAGGGCCCATTGCATATATGAGGCTACTAACTTGGACTTCTCCGCTTTTCTTCTTCAACTCAGACACAGTCCTAAATCTAAGAAAAGTTTGTCTCCACGAAGCCCATGCTGTCGGTTCATGAAAGTAAAAATTAACTAGTGGTTTAAAAGTCATGTTTCTTACCGTGAGGTTTCTCCACGTTATATCCTACTCTTGTGTGGTTCTTCTGTTTCACTCACCCACTTCTGACACCATGTAGCAAGGTTTTCTCCACCAGTCAAAATGCCCAAAGAAAAAAGCTTAGAGACACAGACACAGCTTTATATAGACCCCAGACCCTTTGTTCCCAGAAGCCCTGAATCTCAAGACAAAGTGAGAACTGCTCATGGAGTGTTTACACTGAAAGGGAAACAACTGGTAATATAATGGACAAGCAACTGTGGTGGATTATGGATTATGTCCCATATCATTACAGCATGCAAAGGCGAAGCGTCAATAAAGTCTAACTCCTACCACAGACGCAGTAAAACAGCGTCACTTTAATATAATAATATTTGCTTAAACAAAGCTTTAAAAGCTAAACGAAATTTTTGGTGTTGGGGAAACCATTGACTACTTACTGCTCTTTGTCCACCAGCTCCCTCAGACTACGGAAAGAACTGTCTACATTCACTTTGTTCTTGGACAATATATTTTCGAAGTACGTATCATTTCCATATGTGTACTGAAAAAAAAAGATGAAACGAAACCTAGTTAGTGCTTAAAAAAAAACTTGATTAAGATAATTTACAGTCATCTACGTGAAGGATATGCAAGAAACACAATTTTTTTCATCAGACGTTCTGTTTTCTTTGTGTCTTCTCGGTGGTTGTGGTGGTGGTTGTGGTGGTGGTATTTTTGTTAAAGGGGGGGGGGGGGGGGGGTCCCACCTATTTTTGGTCAGTCTGGGTCAAATTGGGTATTACAATATTTTTTGCCTTTTCTCAGTCATTTCTCTGTTGATTTGATTGTCCTTTGGCACAATCGTAGCTAGTTGGATGTCCAACATTTTTTTTTCTTACAATGTTATTCTATCTTCACTAATTAGAGAGGTATATCATTTTTTGTCAAAAATATTTTTTTTAATTTTTGACACATTTTTCGAAACTCCTCTGAAGATTACTGGTGTATCTTGATGGCACTTGGCATATTTGTTGCCCTTAGGGGTGGTTACATTACGTTGTCAGCGTTTTTTTATGTCTATCTTGGTTTTCTTTTTTTTGTTTTAAAAAATTAGGAAAATTGACCTTTTTCTGCATTTTTGACAAGATTTGCACGCTTCTTCCTGTAACTCCGAAACGAAATAAGATATCGAAAGATACTGACTATGTATAACTTATATGCCTCTTGGGTACATGTGTGCCAAAGGTCAATAAAATCCATAGGTAAATTTCAGAGGAGAATTGATTTATGTGAAAATCCCATCTTGGATCCGGGAAATTTTTTTGTCATCGTAATACCTGTATCATGACGAAGTTGTATGCCAAATTTAAGGTTTCTAGGTCCAGAAATAAAGGAGTTAGCTTGCTTGTGGGACCCCCCCCCCCCTTAAATTGCATGGGTCTGTTTGCTTGTTTGTTAACCTTTGGGAGGATTGGAGAAAGGGTGTGCATTAAAGGTAAATTAACTGGTCATAACTCACAAAAACGTTAGTTTGCTTCCAAAGTTCAAGGCAGAATTTTTCAAGTATTTCAATCTTCATACATATATGATGCATCCCACATCGCCTAGTCTGGTTCAGATATGCATGTCAAAGAAACCCAGCACCCGACCAATATAGGAATTTCATTTTTAAAAATTGCTAGAAAATGTCTTGATGATGAAAAATGTATTCCTATTTTCAAGATCTGGTTAACGGAGACTGAAAAAGCGCGTGTGAATGCAATCAATTTAAATATGTGTAAATAAAATAGGAGAGCGAGAGGAGGGTAGGGTGGGGGGGGGGGGGCTCGATAAGGTAAAGTTAAGTTTCAAGTACACTCTATCAGCCAAGCTCAGTTAGATATGAATTACAACCTTAATCGTGAGTGTTGACATACTTTCGAAACCATTCCATAACGCTTTGCTTAGTTCTATGGACTTACATTTTCGTACAATTCTGTCAGTCGTGTGGAATTGATCACAAATTCGGGGTATCCAATCTTGGAGACAATTGCATCATTCTGTGACGAGCATGATGAACAATAAGTCAATATTCTGGTGTTTGGACAAGATTTATACTAGATAATGACGATGCTAATTATAACAACAACAACAACAACAACAACAAAAACAACAATAATAATAATAATAATAATAATAATAATAATAAAAATAATGATAATAGTAATAGTGATAGCAATGATGATGATAGTAGTAATGATGATGATGATGATGATGATGATGATGATGATGAGGATGATGATTTTTTTGTTTGTTTCCTTAATAGGCCTGGCGGACTCCACGAAGAAATCTTCGAGCGAGGCTCTTTTTCTGCTCCATTGTCAATATGCTTAGAGGCACCTCCACTCGTCCAAATAACTCATTCGAATTGCCATTGTTCCTGAATATTCAAACATATGTTTGACATCCTCATTTTCATGGCCCCATTATCGGCAACATGGGCTGAGCTCTTCATTTACAAAGTTCTTATAGCATCTCAAGCTCCAATGATGGTGCGACTGCAGTCTCGCTAGCTCAACCTGGTCCCAGCGACATGTGATATTTTGTTCCCGCTTATTGGAGTACCCAGAATACACATCTTCCAGGTGCTGGTACTTAGCTCTGCATTGTGGGTCTGTGATTTCCCCCTTGATCATAGGAAAGACCCGTTTGTATGTTGTTGGTCGTCTGTCTCCTCTAATCTCTCTTGATTCATTAGCAGCTTGGTCTGCTGCCTCATTTCCTTCGATTCAAACATGGCTTGGAATCCACTGGATTTTTATTGTGGCTGTGGCTTCACTGAACTTGCGGGGCAAATCATTTAAGTCCGAGCTGTTGCCTAGCAGTCCCAGGGACTGTCTGTCAGTCAAGATCAGCACATTGGTTCTACTGTGGCAATTGTCAACAATCCATTGTGCAGCAGACATCATTGCCTGGCATTCCTCGTCATAAGATAATATAAGGAAAGCACCTTTAGTTTTAATAATTTCTGTTCGAGGTGGTTCATAATAAAATTCATTATCACCACTGCTGCTGCTCCACCTTCGCGGTATCCTGCGCTAGCCGATCCATTAGTGAAAATTGTCACATCGGCACGAACCTCTTTGTTTACATCCTTTGCAGCTTCATGTGCCTTTACAGGATCATCACCTTTGCTCTTCACTCCTCTTAGTTGTGTCCGGATTTCGATTTCGCCATGGGTCTCCAATGGACAAGCTCTCACCAGAATGATTGGCCATCGATTCTCTGCTTCAGGGGGGTCTGCTAGATCGGTGTCCATCCGAAACCAACGTTTCCTGCTGCTTTTAGGCTTGACTGCTTGATAAAAGGCTTTCTTTCTATGATGGTGGTCTGGCAATCTCTTGGCCATCTCTACAGACTTGAGGCATGTTCTATCTGTATAGGTGGTGTAGTGCTAATTCCTGGTCTCATAGCGCAGCGCTTCTGCTGGTGTTGTTTTCAGCTGACCTGATACAAGGCGGAGGGCTTTGTATTGATGATGATGATGATGATGATGATGATGATGATGATGATGATACTAATATACTACTACTAATATTAATAACAATACTAATAAGTATATCACTACTACTACTACTACTACTACTACTACTACTACTACTACTACTACTACTACTGCTACTGCTACTGCTACTGCTACTACTACTGCTACTACTACTACTACTACCACTACTACTACTACTATTACTACTACTACTACTACTACTACTACTACTACTACTAGTACTACTAGTACTACTACTACTACTACTACTACTATTACTTCTACTACTACTAATACAACTAATACAAGTATTGCATGCAATTATAACAATAATTGCATTTAAATAGTGCAGATCCACGCTATACACATGCTCAATGCGCTTTACAGCTAGTACTATTACTCCAGCAGCCTAGGTCACTCAGAAACATCATTGAAAGCATACAGTGCAAGCTTCCGATTGCACGCACTCAGACACAAACAGACATAATCTGTCGCTGTCTTTAGCTGTGCACCCATGCCCACCTCGGTGAAGTGAGGAAAATCATGGTAAATTACTTTTCCAAGGACACAATGTTGGTACCCTGACGGGATTCAAACGCATAGCCGTACCATTGCTAGAACATATCCTGCGTGTAGCGTCATGAAGCTCATATACATTGAGCATGCCACCTTGATAGGTGTTGTCTAAATCTATTGATTATGTTCTTTCTTATGCGGGCTACATCACTTTTAAATTTGCAACGTTGCTGACTGCAGTAATGTCTAACTGACTACATAAATATTCAAATAATTAAAGCATAAATGATCGATTCTGGATAATTCATAATATTGTTCTAATCACTATGAAGATTGACTAAATAATTGTTAAATTTAATGTTTCGTTGCATGTAGGTGTTATCTTTTAATTTATGCTTTCCTTTTCTGAATTTGTAAATAAAAAATTAATGTTTTCCTTTGTTTCGTTGAGGGGGGGGGGGGGGGGGGGTGGTGGGGCTGTCTTGTATTTGTGTCCATCAAATGAAGTAAGCCTCACCGTGGATGTGATCTGACAAAGGGCTTAAAGCATATTTTCATAAACTGTCCTTCATATCATACTGATTCAGTAAATAATATTGCACAGTTTCATCCTATCCAAATTACACAGGTACCCCCCCCCCCCTTTCCGGCAAAAAAGCGCACCCTTAATTCGTGTGAAGTTTACTACTTTGACATATCCCTGAACTGGACTGACTGCACAGCCAACAATTTATGACATCTCTCTTCGAGTAAACTGTACCTGGAAGCAACCAAACTGCAATAACTTGCGTTGTAAGCACTTACCTTTTCTCGAGCTACTACTTTTGTTTCTTCGTCCATCCATTCTACTTCATCTACAATCTCATTAAAAGCTGACTGAAGACCGGAGATCATTTCTAGAGCCTGAAAAATATCACCATAAAGCTGTATACAAAGAGGGGAAGACATAGATATAGTCTACTAGTCCATTCTGCGAGAATGGATGGTGCAGAAAACTAAACTGGTCGCGCAGTGTATACTTTCCAATCGAAATTTCCAGATGATATTTTGTGGGAGGAATTTGCTCAGACTTGTTTCTTTAAAAACTGAAAACCCGCCTTTTTCAACGTGAAAGACATACACAACACAACCTTTGGGAAACTCTTTTGCTGAAAGATATAACTATTCGAGCATAGGGGTCGCACATTTACTAATTATGTCATGGCATGTAAGAAAAAAACGAATCACTGAGATCAAAAGAAGCACAATAACGTGTGTACAAAATACAAGACAAAATAAAACACGTCATTACCACATCTTTAGCTTCTGGGGAGAAGAACTTGTCCACAAACGGTTTGCTGATGATGAATCCAACATTTCTTCTCACAAAGCTTGTACAGAACAACTCTCGTGGTTGAACAGTTTCTATACCATATATGGCCTGGCAAGGGAGGGAAATATTGTTAAATCCAAGTTATATGAAAACGTAACATTTTGATGTTCGTAGAGTATGTTACAAGCGCAAAACAAGCTATGCCAATGTATGTGATGTGAGCACTCCTGGTGTAAGTTCTTATGCAAGCTGTGGTCCCACCTCTTGAACAAATGACACATACACATGCACACATACAAACACACAGACGCACACACATACACACAAACACACACACAAACACACACACACGCACACACACAATAATGTATAAGTCACGTCGCGGTGCAATTAGGCACACACATACACCCAAACACACACACAAACACACACACACGCACACACACACAATTATGTATATTATTATTATATCACGTCGCGGTGCAATTAGGCACTCATCAATTTCTCTGCATATGAGGTTTATGGTATCATCGTAAAGCCTGTTTGTTTTGCTTTCGATGTAAAAAAGTAGCCATCTATCAAGAATAGAAGTCGAGATATTCGTGATTGGTGAAGGTGGATATCGCCTGGTTCCAAAGGTAAAACTAGTGAAAAAATGGCCACCAATGTGTGGTGACTTCCATAGCTTGAGATTTCTTGAAAACTGAAAAGTATGTACATTTTTTGTGCCTTTAATCAACGTTTTCACGAAAAGTTCACACATAAATGTTTTTAAAAATTAACAAAACAGTATTAAGCTAAAGAACACACACACAAAGAAAAAGACAAATATTACCTAACCGCAAGAAAAATGCTTATTTCTTCCATTTCAGTATTTTGACGAGCGCCTGATTTCTCCACTCTGCCTTACCTAAGTGTGTGTGTATGTATGTGTGTGTGTGTGTGTGTGTGTGTGTGTGTGTGTGTGTGTGTGTGTGTGTGTGTGTGTGTGTGAAATAAAAAAGAATGGTGGTGGGTTGTTTTGCTCCATAAGTGAGTTTCTATAATAATACAGGGCTAATTCATCCTCTAGAATGTAGGCATTCAACAGTCTAAGATAAACACAATTGAACAAAGTTTGCTTTTTGGCATTTTTCTAAACGATTTAAACAGAACAGTACTTTTGTAGAGTTTCTTAAAAAATCACAAACAATTCAGATGTCTAAAACTTTCTCAGACCTGAAGAACTGGATCCTCAAAACAAAAAAGTCATTGCATCTTCTTTTGTGGCGGTATAATTTATTACAACATTAAGACAGAGTTTTCCCCATAAGCAAAAAGCATTTAACAAACACTTGCTGTACCTTTGTGAACTCAAATCGGATGTCTTTAAAAACCTGTGTCAGAGTACCGAGGTAAGAGATAGTAATCCGCCATATGATGTAGTTAGCTATTGTTCTGTTGAAGAGAAATGATAGAATAATTATTATTACTCATTTATGAATACGCATAGAATTGATACATTATAACACACATAGAACTGAATAAACATTACTGTTAGAAAACTGCACATTTTTATAGGCGCCTTGGTGGCCCGATGAACTAGTGTTTTGAAGTAAAACAGTTGCATAAGTAACAGTCAGGAGCTGTGTGAATTGAGAAACTCAAGTTTACTCACACTGTGATAGACATAGAGGACGTAGAAGGGGGAAAAACGACTAATGCATGAGCTGTAAATTGATATTGATGGATACTTTAGGAAAATCTGTAACACCAGCCCCAGAGTAATATCATCATCATCTTGTTGTTCTTATTGTTGTTGTGGTTGTTGTGGTTGTTGTCGTTTTTGTTTTTGTTGTTGTTTTTTTTGGTGTTTTTTGTTTGTTCTCCTTCTCCTTCTCCTTCTCCTTCTCTTTTTCCTTCTTCTTCTCCTTCTCCTTCTCCTCCTCCTCCTGCTCCTCCTCCTCCTCCTCCTCCTCCTCCTCCTCCTCCTCCTCCTCCTCCCCCTCCTTCTTCTTCTTCTTCTTCTTCTTCTTCTGGTAATCCAGAACTGCATTACAGTTTTGTATAAGGAGAAGTTGTGTTGATATTCTTACTACTTGTAATCTTGAGAGATACCAACGTGTTATTCACGGAAAGGAGAACAATAAGACGAAGATGAAAAGAAGAACAAAAGAAACAAGAAAAACGAGAAAAAAGAAAAAGAATGTTCAGAACTTGAAACAAAATGAATGTTTTCATAACAGATCAAGAAGTGAGTTATTAAAGTAATAGGTAAACTATATTATTTTAAAACCAGGATTACTTTTTTGGTGTGTTTCTAAGAAGGTCTGTAAGGTTCCGAAAGTAAGGGGGTGATCTGTTCATAATGATTTCATCGTCTCCGACACTGACTGCTACTTCTGGTGCTGACATCACTGTTGTGATTAACCTCGAGAAGTTGAGCTCTGGCTGTTTTTGTGAACAATAAAATATGCATATTATAACAATAGGTCTGTCTGCTTGTCAGAACGTCTGTTGTCTCTCGTTGTGCGTGTGTCTGTATGTATGTATATCTATCTATCTATCTATCTATTTATCTATCTATCTATCTATCTACATGTAACTATGTATATAACCTAATAATATGTGTATGTGTGTGGGAATGTGTTTGTGTGTGTTTGTATATGTGCATGTGTGTGCGTATAGATGTGTGTTGGTATGTGTGAGTTTGTGTTTGTGTTTGTATGTTTGTGATAACGATGTTTAATTCATCGAAATAATTGGTTAGGAACAGGATTAAAGCGAAGAAAAAAAAGCTCAAATTTAGATTGGTTTGGCTTGGATCTTCTGCAATGAATTTTTTTTTTCTTGTATCTTTTGAAAAAAACTCTCTCTCTCTCTCTCTCTCTCTCTCTCTCTCTCTCTCTCTCTCTCTCTCTCTCTCTCTCTCTCTTTCTTGCTCGTTCTGACGCTTCATACATGATATGAGATTGGATCCGTAGATTGTTAGATTGATAGATAGATAGATAGATAGATAGATAGATAGATAGATAGATAGATAGATAGGTAGATAGATAGATAGATAGGTAGACAGACAAATAGATAGATGTATAGATATATAAATAGATAGACAGATAGAAAGAAAGTTCTCACATCAGGCGAACCGAACTTATGTCAATTGTACCGTGTACATGCGGTAAACGTCTTCAAAACAGTCGAACGGAAAGTTACGACGAACGTGACGTACCGAACTGAAGTCTTGGTCGAGCTCAGCCAGGGTCATTGGGTTAAATACTGCATTGGCGTTACGTCTGATCGCAGGTCTCACGGAAATCTGGACACGATGGGGTGAAAAATTCCTTATCAACATTGTCCACAAAAGCAGTGATGACCTAACAGTCAAAAGCATAAGTAATTCTTGTATTTAGATCTATTTTTCTGGGGAAAACGCACAATTTTTCTAATTGAAACAAGTTAATAAGGTAGTAAAAGTTTGATCTTCTGAGTATTTCCGAACCTAGGACCATATCGGGACACAAAAGAACGAAGAAGTAGGGCTAGTAAGAAACAATAAATTGCTGGCTGTTCTCTGCTATGACTTTTGATGTGCCACAGGTGTATGAAAAGGTATTGCCTCGTCTTTAAATCTTTCTTTCATAATCTGAATAATTATTTGATTAATTAGCGAGATATTTAGGAATAAAGAAGTATGTGAAACAGTTAAATATTTGGTAAAATGCCACAACAAGATAGGCTTATGAGAAACACCAGCAGACATATTTTAACTGTGCATAAATTCTGTAATAGAATAAATGAAAATGAGAAGGAAAAAAGGCCAGAGCGGTCTCCAAGAACATACCAATAAAGCATGCCAGAAATATGGAGTGAAAATGAGCACAACTTAATCATAGATAAGGAAGATCTCCCGAAACCAAATCACATTGATGTGAAGTCAACTATTCAAAACTGGGACAAGTAAAACAATTCAAATATTTTGAAATCAAATGCACATCACTCGGGAAAATGGACAGAGAAATAGAAATGCGAGAACAAAAGGCAAACGTGCCCACACACTATATTAGCCTTCATCCTCACCACGCAAAACATTCCCATAGAGACAGAAACTCATTAGATCATTTTTTCTACCACCTCCCTGCTACCAGTGCAAAAACTGAACCTTTAAAAAAAGGTAGTAAAGTAAAATTACAGTATGCAACATTAAATGTATTAGAGAAACTCTAAACGTCGAGAGAAAGAGACAAAGACATCAGACAAATGGTCATCAAATCAAGCATGGTATTTAACGATAGACTACGGATGAGATGGTTTGGACGCGTTATGAGAATGGGTCGAGATTTTACTGCCTGCCTCAAAGGCATTCGACATGCAATTCTATGTCTTCAGAGCACAAAAAATGTCAAGGAAATATGGATCGATGAAATCAAAGAGCATCCTCAAATGAACAATTTGACGGTTCAATAAGCGACAAACTTGGCCCCATTTCAACAATTATTACATCTCCCGTAGACACTTTGCGGTATAAGTGGACAGACACAGTTAAAAAGAAAGTAGTAGTCAAGAAAATTGTAAGACATTTTGGAGTCATGTGAATGACATCGAATACAAGTCATTGTAAGACGAATCTAAAAGAAAAGGGCAAAGCGAGGGGCACCTTATTTTCTTCATTTTCCTTGTTGATATATTCTAGAGAACTAGTTTAACATTGCTGTATTTTTTAGATTTGCAGAAAAGGGCTCTCCAATCACTGAAAGCCCATTTTCCACAAGACAAGTTTTTAAGAAAATAAGGAGAACACGTTATCATATTCATCTTTTCTTTTCAATAATTTTGTGAAAGTACGTTCTTCTTCTTGATTTTCAAAATATTTCTGCTTATAATACATAAGGGTTATCAATTGAGACGCAAAATGGACTTTCCGATTCTCACCTGGGCGATCTGCATTTCAAAATCTACAACGTCCGCGACATCCTTCTCTGCCGTAGCGGGGTCAGCAAATCCGAGCGCCTCTGCCACTCTGTAGAGGTACGTCTCATAGGCCTTGATATACGTGTCGTTCCTGGGTACTCGGTAGTATCTCTGGCCTGGAAGACCAAAGGCAGGCTGGTCTATCTGGAATGGGAGAGTTTGAAAATACCTCACTTTTCCATCTAAACAATGTAGGGTTAAAAAGTAAATTTCGACCTTTATTCCTCTCTAAATAAGCTGAAACCTGTCTAAGTGAAAGATGTCACAGCAATCAAAACGATGGCCCACAGAGACTGGGGACCCCATATGTGCTCACAAGATCATGTCAGTATGTCCCGGATGGTCGGCGAAAGTTTACTTTTATCCAATTAGCTTGGATACTCGCTGGTTCCATCCTACCTACCTTGACTAACCAGCGGTTATTGCTCTGGGCTTATCCCTGCCTCGTTTGCCTTCTATTTTCCCTTGGAGAGTAAGACGCATAAGATGTTCAAGGCCTTTTTACCGAGATATATATTTTAATCAGCTCTCCCGCACATCCTCTCTCTCTCTTTCTCTTTCTCTCTCTTTGTCTCTCTTTCTCAGTCTCTCTCCCTATCCCCCCTCTCTCTCATTCTCATTCACGAAGACGCCCACGCACACGTACACAGACACACACACACACACACACACACACACACACACACACTCACACACACACATGCATATTCATACACACACACACACGCACACACACGCGCGCGCGTGCGGGCGCACGCAAGCACGCACGCACACACACAT